AGAGAGCGAGGAGAGCGAGAGGCGAGAGAGCGAGGAGAGAGAGAGGAGAGAGAGAGAGAGAGAGAGAGGGGGGGGGGGGGGGAGAGCACCTGCACCTGTGTGTGTGCAGCTCCAGGACTCCGTGATGTGGAGTTGCAGCGATGGGAGGTCGTGTATCAGCAGAGCAGGGCTTTAATGTGTGCCACACCGCATTCGACAGTCCATGTGCGAACAGTGTGTGTCGGATATGAGCTCGGACTGTGAAGGTTACTACACCGAGGCAGATGTGCTCGTGGAGGGCTTCACGTGTCCGAAAGCGGACAGTGATGCCACGGCACTTTTCTGCTGCGGGTTCAGTGACTTGAAGTACTGTTGCGATGACCCCAACAGCTTCTTCCCTTACGAATATGGATACATGTGGTGGTTGAGGTAAGGACAGTCAAATGAAAGTGTTGCATATTTTTACCTCCGTATTTTACATTTATAAATGTGGGTACATTTACTATTTATGCATGACATAACATGCATGTGCATTATACTGTAGCATAGTTTCTCCTACAGTTAACAATAATTATGCAAGTTGTGCTGTTTTGGATCACATGCATTTGTGGGTTGATAAGCAAGTATCTTTGGTGTGTTGTCAGGAGCCAACCTGTTGCTGGTATTTTACAGTCTGTTCACGTTTGGCTCAAATTAGGCTAATATGCTTGGATAAAAGAGTCATTTGTAAAGCTCAAATGGCATTTAGTAATGCAGGGTCACTTTGAGTTCAGAACACAGTGCAATACCATTAGGGGAAACCTTGCCTTTGATTCAGTAAATGCCATAGATCTAAGGATGCTCTTATTGACTCTTAGATAATACACATCCACGACATAAATGTTTTTTTTAAGGGACTTTTTCTAATGTAGTTCTTCTGAAAAAATATGCAAATGTGGAGTGAGGCTTAGACATGCAGAATGTGAACAGCCAAGGAAATCAGAATTTAGAATTCCTTTATTAGCCCACAAAGAGGAAATGTATGTTGTTACAGGAAAGTATAAATAGAGATGAAGAAAATAGAACACTTATATAAAAAAAACGCATGCTCGTAGTATTTATAAGATAAAATAAAAGGAAACTGCTTAGGGCCACGGGTAGTAAGGGGCCCCCAAGTGATGACACGTTTATGCCACATCAATGTCCTTTTAAAAACCAATCACCCATTTACAATGACATCAATAAAAAAACCTCTCTAAAGCAGCCACTTGCCATAGTCGAGCTATGTGCAGACAACTCTTTGGTCACAGTATTGGTTCCTTTGAGTTGATACGTAAATGAACCCAACCTTTTTGAGTTTTTATACTTTTTTGCAAAACATGGGGGCAGTTTTTTTCGCGATTCCTCGTTAAAGTAATTGCACATTCGATACCGGTCATCACATAAAAGGTTTACATGAATAATTACAAAAATTATTTTCAGTTTAATCGTTTACATTTCCCACTTCTGTCACTGATCAATCCAAAGGCCATTACTGCTGGTGTTAAAAATGATTTGAAAAGTGTTATATATATATAGTTACTAATATGTTGTTTAAACCGTATGTGTCTTTTAGCATTACCTGACTCATTAATTTTGATTTTTGTGTCCTTGTATTTAGCTAGGAAGTTTTGTTGCTGGCACCATTATATTGTATTTTGAACTGTTATTCCTGATAGTAATCCCTATTACTAGGTATATTTGTAATCTGATGACGTTCTTTCTTTCTGTAATGGGGAGCAGTAATCTGGCCAGTGTGATATTAAAGGATTATTCTGTGCTTTAATTTGTGTCCTTCTGCCCTCACGTGTGCCAAAAGTGTGTCCTGATGTGAAGTATGGCATAGCTAGTTAACAATGCTACCCGGTCGAAATTCACATGCTGCACAAGGGTGCTCAATTAACAACACACCGTCTATCTAATTCTAAATACAAACTAGCAGAGGTTAAAAAAAGGTCAGTTGACACAAAAGCAATATAAGTTATTACTAGCATCACTGATAACTTTACAGTTAGAAGAATGGCGTATCAGTTTGGATTAAGTTATTAAACTTCCTTCAGCACTCATCTATTTCTATTTTCAGTACATAAGTAGCAAGCCATCAACACTACATGGTTGGAATTCAAAAGTGTTCACAGTAGTGATGGCAGTTGTATGGAAGCAAACAAGAGACAGAAGTATTTGAATTTTATTAGACACCGAATTTATAGCATTGAAAATAATTACATTGAAAATCATGTATCTAAATGTTTTTTTGGTTTGCTCGAATTTACCTATGTGAATAAAAATGTCAAAATTCAAGTGAAAAAAAAATGTGAATGTTCAAATCATGATCCCAAAAAATTCAAGTGAAAAAAAATTCGACGTATAAAATTCGATGTCCAAAATTGCGATGCAGCAGCATTCATCCGGGCTAACTCAGACAGGATAAGCATCGAGTCCTAATTGCAATCAAACACGCACTTCTGGCCTATCAGAACACGGCTTTGTCAGTCATGTGATCACAACAACCCGGGCGAAAAATGACGGAGAACAGCCTGGGGCTCGGGTAAGTAGTCAGTTTGTGCTCTTTATTTTACAAGCAGTGAGGGCTCCACAGCATTTTTATCTTACATTAGCTAAATGAGTGAAGTAGCCTTGTGTCTTGCTGTTAGCAAGCTCCGTAGTTATCATTAATTAAGTGAATACAACAGTTACCGTGTGCCTTGTGTGTGTGTGTTGTGTGTGTGTGTGTGTGGGGAGGGGGGGGGGGGCGGTTTGCAAAGTAACGTACGTATAAATTAGGCTTACTAATAAGACAACTCAGATCTGAAGCTAACACAGGAATCTGCTGCCAAAGTGCAATAAATAGACAAAATTAATAGAATCAAACCATTTTTTTGTTGCATTTTAGTAGAATATAAAAATAAATGCCTTTAAAATAGGATGCAAGCAACACTAGTTTCTTAACCTGAATTGATAATAGACTATAATCAATTTAACAGAAACAGATCTTAATGTTTGCATTCTTATACCATTTTGTACAATAATTATAATGAATAAGTTCAAACAAACTAAAACTTACAGCTGATTAATAACGGTATCTAACTTGAGTTTTTATCAAAAACCTGTTGAAATGCTACTGTTATTTTTACTGTCCCCAAAAAGCGCGTCAGCAGCCTCCAGGAATGCTTCTTTCACAACTTCGCCATCTTTGAAAGACTTCATGTATTTCGCAAGAACGTGACTGACACGTTAAGATTCTATGGTAGCAGCCTTGCTCTTGTTGTTGGGCCTGGTGAAAATGGACTGCTGTGTATTTAGCTGTCCTTTCAGGCCCCTCCCCTTTTGGGAGCGTAGGGCAGAATTAGGAGGGAGTTCCGTCTCGTAGCGTTTGTTTTTGGACTGTTTTGAAATGCCGCTCCTAAATTACCCTTCTTCGATAAAGCCACGCTCGCATTGCAGATGAGACAGATGGACTTTGAATTGGAATAGATACACAAATAATCATCCTCCCACTCGGAGTGAAAATTATATATTTTGGGCTTTTTTGCTTCTGCCATAATTGCGGTCTTGTGTGTGTGCGGACTGGCACTCCTGTTGACAAGGTCGGACAACAACGTCAGCGAAATAGTGCCCACTGCCCACCAGCCACGCCCCGACACATGGGGTCACGCCGGCCAATCACAAAGCTTTGATGCGTTCAAGTGCATTATTCTGGCACAGGAACATTATGTTAGGACATTAACGATAAAACAGAATGTTGTTGTTCTATTTTTAGACACATCTCGCGATCGACTGGGAATCTCCTCGCGATCGACCCGACTGGTTGGATACCCCTGAAGTAGACCATGCTACACTATACGAAATACTCTCTTGCAAAAGCCCTGCATTTAAACATGTTAATGTTACTTTAGTAAAAGTATGCTAGTATAAGTGTTGTTAAAGTATTTAAAGCAGACACAAGTTATACTATTATATTATATCATTTGTTTTATTATTACCAATGCAAGAGTTGACTTAACTGTTGTAGTTGGAGCTCATTTTGAACAATGAGCTAACTAATGATTACTTTCATAATGGTTTAATGTGCTGACTATTTTCTACATTAATAGATGAAGGTCTGGTTTGTTCAAACTCTCAAAATAATAGGACATGCTGTCATAATTACCCAGAGTCTGAAGTGACACCTTTACAATGTTAAAGCTGTTAGATAAATGTAGTGATGTAAAAACTAAAATATTCAAGATAGTGTAGTGGAAAAGAGAATGTTTTTAAAACATGTTACTAAAACAAAATCTCTTGTTTTGGACTGACAGTAATGATTCAAGAAATAGTAGATACATAAATACACACACATCAATCTGTGTGCATTTGTTGTGGATGGAACACAACAAATGGTGCTCTTACCTGTGATGCCTCCTCCAAACATTATAACCAGAGTGTATCATTCAAACTATAAGTAACAGTTCTAGCTACTTGACTTTACACAAACAATTCAAAAGACAAAATCAACACAATTTATTGAAAGACCAATCTTTATTTTACGGTGCCTCTCCTTTTGTTTGTATTATTAAACCCTGTCAATCTAAAAAACTGAGCAACTCAACAGTTAACTTTATATTTCTTATTGTCCAAAGCATCTATTACACTATTTTTCCCCTCTCATATTCACAGGATAGACGATTAGAGACTTTGGGGGAGACCTCAGTTTTATGAACGTCCTGTCTGTTGCTTTGGCCAGAGAGGGCTGAGGGTCTTTCCCTGCGAGGAGGACCAGGCCTGAGGGAGGAGGACCTGCACCAGCTGCACCTGCAGAACTACCCATGCTGGGCATAGCTGTTACTGTACCACCTGCACAGGTCTAGCCTGTCACTTTATTTGACAAAATGTGTTTACTTAATTAACAGATTAACATTTAGAGTAACTTATGTATATTATTTCGTTTTTATTTAAAAAAAATTGTGATGGTTCATGCTTGATAACTTTTAGTTCACATTTCAATCAATTGTATTTGTACTCCTTTTGTCCGTTATTCTTACTGAAAATGTTAAGTTACACATTCACATCTGACTGAAGATTGGCACCATTTATTTGGGTATATAATACCTGATATACTCTGAATACTCTGATAGTGTTACGTTATGAGAGTGCTCTGTTTGATTCTGAAATTGTATATATTTATATAAATATATAGCCTACATAGGCTATATATATATTTATATAAATATATACATAGGCTATATATATGTGTGTGTGTCTGCATCTGTAGCCTGTTATTGTCTCATTATACCGCACTGTGAATGAATTCAAAGTAAATATATAAGTTATCATGAACACATCTGTCCATCAGACAGAGGGCTGCTGTGCCTCCTGTCATCATTAATGGACGTCTCTTTAAAATGACCCGCTCAGAGGAGAGGAGTTCTCAT